TAATATCTCTCGTGAATGTCTGCATTTCAGAATCTGAGAGTTTAGAAGTAAAGCAATAAATCTGTGGAGGGATGGTCGTAAGTTGCTGAAGTTTATCACTTAGACCTTATTGATATTGCAATCATGTTATAGACTTTTGTTCGGCCAATTATTTATTTGCCAGACCACTTTTGTTACTCCTTGATTACTAATTTCGTAAAACGTTAAACGTACCTAGCTGCTAGTACAACAAACATTGCTAGCGTAACGGAATTATAATTCCTCGGAAGCACCCTACTCATGTCAAATTTATTCCGGACAATATTATTGTGACTATTGTTTGTTTTAATAACAATGAAATCGATATCAAACGAAGTCGACATTGATTTTGGAAGAAGGGGGAATTGCTTATCCTCCTATAAATAGATAATACAAATTTTCTTTTTTGCTTACGCTCGTAAATACTGAGCTAATTCAAACAATGCGGATATATATAGGTACACAACCGTTTAGACTTTCTTTATAGGCAGTATCAATTGTTTATAGCCTTTTGGTCTCGCAAAATATAGTAAGTTGGCCATTGCAATAATACCAATCGGTCGATTGGTTGTCGTCATCCGGAGATTCTGGTTGCCGCTCTATTTGCCCTGTGTATGATGGCATAAGCCGTAATATTAATATATCATTGTCATTAAATGCAGGCGCAAAGTTACATGCAAATTGACCTCCATAGCAATCACTACTATCCATCATAAAGAAATACCTTTAAATGTATCAGCGTTCCGCGCCCTCGATGGAATCATGAACAACGTATTTCGAAAATGTAAGTTTTTCTGAAAAAAAAAATATTGTCCCCCGCGCCCTTTCGTATGATAATTATGTAATTCGTGGAATTGGGTGCATTTGTGCATTAACCATATACTAACGATTACCGTTCAAGGTATTCAACCCGCTGGCCCATAGCTTGATTCTTCACATCGGGGTCGAATCCACTTGCTGAACGGTCGAAGTCTTCCAAGGAATCGCGATGGAGAGAGCTCCTAGCGAAGATGTCTACTATTTGCGTTAGACACAACTCATAAACAAGCACGAAAACATACTATTCATAATAGTACATACCTGACATTCAAGTTACACATCACTCAACGTACCCCAACGGTTGCTAACCGCGGATGACTATCTTATGTGTTGTATGTCAATTTGGAATTATGTCAATCTAGAATTGACATAAGGAATTGAATAATCAATGAAGGCAACGTATTTTATTATTTATTATCAAGACTATAATAATTGCATATGCGTTAACCATAATGTATCATATACTCAATTTCATGCTTCTCATATCAAACGCTAATTTGTTCAGCAAATAGAAGTGAGTTGAGCTTACTACAATCCACCCCCCTCTGACAAATATAGTGTATAATCATCTGAGAATCAAGTTTTCGATGACAAGTTTATTAGATTCGAATAATGTATTACATTATTAGGTACATGTCTTTGCTATTGCGATTTACTTCATACAGTTCTACTGAAGACAAACTAGCATTTCACAACCTGTAAGAAATATGGTTATACCATATTACATCGTTGTTAAATTGCATCTATGATTCTTTACACTATCCCCTCCGCATACCTTTTCATTATGACAACTTGCTCGGCTCGATGTTTCTGTCATCGTTAGTGTAGAGGCAAATGTTTTCAACTATCAAAATATGAATTATGCCTGAATTTAGCATTTGAAACTGATGTCAAGTATCGAAGCATTCATATTACACTATTAAAGATCAAATATCAGTCTCGTTTAACTGTCAGATTGTATAGTCATGTTTACATTCTAAATACGATCGGACCAACATTTACAGTCTAACCATATTCCAACGCAAATCATCGTATGATGGATTTTATCCACCAATAATTTCAATGCAAATCATCATAACATTGACAGTCTAACCATAATGCTAACGTATACCTAAGAAATCAGTACCTGTTCACCAAGCAAAGTTTGATTAATTTACAAGGATCAAATGCAATTGTAAGACAAACTGCTCTACAACTCTATATTTTTAAAACGACGGATTGCAACAACCATAGTCGATTGCAACGATAAAAACCCCAAGTTATTCTCTTTAATATGATTAACAGTTTGTTTCCGTTAGCAATTAATGATTTATTTATCGCTGCAAGAGCGTTTATTGTTACATTATTTCTTTCAAGTAAAAAGTAAAAATGACAAACATAAGCAGAAGATATCCTTCACATGAAATTGAATAAATGCTAGATCAATAAATAATTCCAAGCGCCGATATGTTACCCATCGTTTCTGTTTACGATGTCTCTGCGGTACTGCTAGTAGCGGTAGTAGTGGGAGCGACACTGTTAGTAGTATTTACGCAGTCTATGACAGTTTCTACTGATGCTACTCCAAGAATTCTCTCGTTACGAGGAACTGATCCCCCAATTGATGCAAACTCTTCTACGACAAAGCAACATTGGCCTGCGATTTTGTTGATTGATAGACTTCTCGATGTGAGGATTGGCGTGTTGAAAGACTCAGAGTCCAAGTCGATGGTGGCAGGGTCTCCAGGTTGTTCGGTGCTGGCCGTGCTGCAATTGGCCACATGAAGATCAAAGGTACCGTCAATTGCTCCGTTTATTGCTCCCTCAATATTTATAAAGCCATCGATTTGCAAAACGGTTTTGGGCGATTGCACAAATTGGAGATACCCGTTAAATGTGTTGCCAGTAAATCCGGGCGAATTCACGGGAACGTCGCCTTGTGTAAACACACATCTAGAAATAGGACAACATTTTTCGAGAGGAGCGGCATTGGCTGGTGTGGGGTCAGTGAATATCAAAGCGGCCAAGAGGGAAAGAAAATAGACTGATTTCATTTCGAATTAATTTTTTGAATTTCTTTCGTGGGGGGCTTGCCAGTTGACTATTATAATTATTCGTCGTTGGAAGTGGGGGAGGAAACTTCGAATTGCACTCGATTTTATAGCTCTCGAACCGAAATTTGTTAGCTCTCTTTCCACAGGTATTTTTTCTTGTTAAATTTTAATTAATGATGTCATTCGACTTTACCACATAATCCCATTGTACACCAAGCCTTCGATAAGAGTGATGTAACAATCTCGACATAATGATATCATTTGATTCCGTAAAATGTGCCAACTCGGTAACGATTTGTTGTGGATACATTTAAGACAAATTTCCACCACTTTGTTTTTTAATCATCGTGAACGCTCGACAGTATGCGATTCAAGTAATCTATGCCTGCTTCAATCTCACATATCTGTTAACACAGTCTTTCAGCGGATAGTAATAGGTGAGATGGCTAACAGAATTTCGCCTAACCTAATCAAATCTGTGCTTACCATATTTAAGCTGATCGTCTATTATTATTATGAGGACCCCTTCCATAAACCTGTTTTAGTAAAGACTAACGAGATCCTTTTAGATAATAAGAATAACATGCTTTGGTCTATAGTAAGACCACTCATCAGAGTGAACGAAAACTGACGTATTAGTATGCACTTTCCCCACACACAACAAATTCCCTATTGGGACTATTTTGGTAATAAAGAAAAATCTGTTAAGTTTGTGCAACAAATATCTTTGATTCTTTGAACATCTCTCTGCCGTGTGCGAATAAAACAGTCGAATTGCTACGTTACGTCCTGTACTTATCCATAGTTAGATATCGGATGAGATCTTAACTCGAAGGTTGCTGTTGGCTATTGCATTAAAAAAATGACATTTTTCTCTACGGCTTCTTACTGTTATGTTCGTCTAATTCTACAATCAAGATTGGGTAGAAATTTGCTTTGTAAGTTACTCGATAGGATTACAAGTGGCTCTCGATATAAGAACCCTTCGATATAAGAAACTTTCGATATAAGAAAGGAATTTGTTGGGTCCCGATCACTTTCTTATATCGAGAGCCACTTGTATAAACTACAAGTATGATTCACGTTAATATTGATTGACATACTAATGCTTGAAAGTCACCTTTCCAGGAATAATTGAAAAGAAAAGAATACAATACGCAGGACAGAAACTGTTCAACAACCACAGAAACTGCTCAACAACCACATTATGTCCGATTCCAACCACACATTGCAAAACTTTCCCTTTGCATAATAGTTCTCAAATGACAAGCTTTGATCTATCTAGATTGTAGAAGACTTTGCATGTCATATCTATATTGAATTTCATAGAATCAGGTGAGGCACATCATGCATTATGTTTGATTTCGATATCTAGTCTTCTCCCCTCTTTGCCGCCTATGTTTAAACTTTATGATTTAACTCGCGTTCAAAAAGGGTCTCCGCAATTCTTCATTTCATCCTATCATAGTACATTGTGGCCAGCGAGCGCGTATGCTATTCGGAAAATTGGATCTTCCTGTATGTACGTGTATCCGCCGCCAAACAGTGATTGAATCAAAATTCACGGGGTAAATCTATCGTGAGCGATTTCCTAAAATTCCGCTTCACAGTCTTTACATACTAGCGCTAATAATAACGATTCCCGCAAATGTTGGACTTTACCTCACGATACCAAACCTTTTACTCTAACAAGCTTTACTATATCCCCGCTCTTAAAGACTTTTGCTTCCAATAAATAGTAATTGTAAAACTTGAGAAGAACAACTGGAAAACCAACTGTGATGGAAAAATCAATGAGAATTATCTAGAGATTTTTAGAAATGAGCCTTTATTGATTATCCTTCTTTTTTTTTTAGCATTTAACGTTCGTGATTATTATAAAGTTGCTATTACCAATGTTAATATCTGATCTAACAGCGTTATTCATGTGATATTATCCATATGAATAACGCCGCCCTATTCTCTCTTTTTTTTTTTGGACTTCGGTCTTTCACGTCGACTTTCCATTACGCGGGAAGGAAGCGTAACCCCCATTGTTTTTTGTTTTTTTTTGGTCTACGATTATTTTTTTTGTCATATTATTTCGCTCGTACAGATTTTTCAAGAAACCGATATGTGCGCTCGGTCGTTTTCCAGTAGCCGTTTGATAACTCATAATCAATCTAATTGTGCGGAGGAGGGAGGGATGGAGGAGGAGGAGGAGGAGGAGGAGGAGGAGGAGGAGGAGGAGGATCTGTGGTTGGGAGTTTTTTTCCCCAAAATTTATCAGGTTATCACATGATCTAGTATTATTCACCGCGCATACCAGGGCGATATGCACTATAAATATTCGATTTTCAATATTTCTCATTTAAAAGTAAGATTATCTTAGCTATTTATTAACATTTTAATTACAATACATGTCAAACATAAATTGCTTTCCAAATAAAAAAAAGAAACCTACACTACAAACACCCCCGACAAGCACCCCGGACAAACACGCTATCAAACATACCCCCTCCCCCCAAATCCGTTCACTCTGCTGCAGATAGAGTAGTCAGTACAAGTGCATCCAAGCTTTTCTCGAGAGAACTGAATTCCGGCGACAAGGACGAGGCCAGTCGCAGTAAGAGTTTGTATCGGATGAGTTTATCGTCGCGATGAATTATTTTCTCTGAAAGAGTAGATATTGCTTGGTTTCGTGTTTCCTGTATTTCCTGCAGTTCCTTGCGAAGTTTATCGACCCTGTTTTTGTTGTTTGAATTGCGCGTTAATGGGATAAATGTATATATGGTTTTGGCGATGGTGAATAATACTTACATATCCAGCTTGCCTCCATTAAATACAACCGCTTTGTCCTCCTTCTCCATTTCCTCACTGATCATTTCATCCAACCTCAACCCTCTATTCTTTTTAATCTCCTCTTTCACAAACCACTCTAGCTCTGCCACTTTCTTCTTCATCCCGTTTATTTCTTGTGCTTTTTTATTTATGTCTTCAGCCACCTGCTTTCCAGCTTCCATTTCTTTCTGACACTGCGCCAACTTCTGTTGCATCTTTCCTAGTTCGTCGTCTAACGACCGCAGTCGCTCATCATACGATGATTGAAATTCTTGCATTATTTGAGTAGCACTGGGCAGTAAGTTTTCTCGAGTCCCTCGTAAGCCATTTAACGCCGATGATGAAGCTGGTGGAGGAATCGTATCACAGTTATTGTATGGATGCTGGCATGGACTCGGACTAGGAAGAGAACTAGCACGTATTCTAGCTTCAGCATCTAATTCTAAAATGTAGTCTTCTACGTTTTTCCCTTCCTTGTTTCGAATGGTAGGATCAGCTCCATGGTCCATTAAAAGACGTACCAGTTTTTTATTAGCATGTTTTGCTGCAATTACTAACGTAGTGTCTCCAAGCGAGTTCTTACAATTGATGACAAACAAGCGAATGCGCTCGTCCGAATGTTCTGCTAGTCGCCGTAGAACCAGCTCCATGTAATATTTCGATGGTCCTACTCGACCCCTTGCTCCAGCTGCAATCGCTATATGATGTAATACGTTTTGCCTATTGTGATCTGTTAGACCGATCGTTGGGTGAAGCAAGTCCAACAGTTGGTCGAATACATGATTCTCTTGGTTGTATGGAAACATCACACTCCGCATTAATGCTGTTTCTCCATGCATATTCTGGGCATCAATCCGCGCTCCCGCTTGTATTAATAATCGTGCCATTTCTACGTTCGCCATTGCAGCCGACCAGTGTAGTGCCGTATGATCCTGCTGATCGATGACTACGTTCGGATCAAAGTCGACGGGCGGGTTTATGATAAAGTCTGGTATTTGTGCAGCATTCGTGGTGAAATACCGTAACATTGCCTCTCCATATTGTCTGGCTAGAGACTGGGAGAGAGAGGTTCTAGATAGTTTGTGAGCACGTCCATTGTGGTCATTACCATTTCTTCTCTTTCGCCGTGCTCTTTGTATGGATGACCCCACGTCTGATTCGGTTGAATCGTTTGCCGAGTCTAATTGAGCCGGCGTATGGGAAAGCGAGGATACTTCTGATGTGTGAGTAGATTGGGGGGAGGCCGCGCTGATTATTTCGTTTGTGTCTGCATCTGTTTCTTCTACTGGTTCGACACGAGGTGATTCGAGGCGTTCTTTTTTTAAAGATTTCTTCGTTACGCGTGGTTTGATTGGTTTTGTGTCTTTGGGTTCACGTGGTTTACGTGGTTTATTTGATGCCGCTGTTACGTGCTTGGGTGCTAATGGGGGACTATCGGCAGTCGGTACAAAGTCTATTATTGGTCGTAGAACTTCTTTGACACCGTACTTTCCTGCTAACTCTACGCCTATTTGATAGGGTACCCAAGTACCTGCAACGCAGAGTATACGTGAGATGAGAGAGGAAAATTCGTCAGTTTGATAAAGATCAATGAACGTTGTAAAATGTCAACAAATGTCCATATTATGAATGGTAGACCGTTATTATTTAAATAACGCGAAGAGAATATCGTTGAAACGCGTCAAATAAATCGATACACGCTATGGATTCAAAATGACGTGTTTCAAGCACCATTCACAGGACGTGCGTTCTCCGATATCTATCCAACTAGGTAAAAAAAATTCCCATATTGCAAGTATAACCAGTTCCATTGAACTAAATTTGCCAAACATGAGAATCTAGGATGATACAACCTACCTTGATATTTTCCATACCCTCCCTGCACTTTTTCATGATCACCCTTCTGGACTTCACGTTCTAAAATCCTAGTTCGATGTGGTTTATCGAACTCAGCTACTTTGAGTATTTGGGTGGCGTTTAACCATCCATCTATAGTATGTGAAAAAGGGGGTGGTAGTAGAGGGGGGGAGAAGGGGGGATTGATTAATGCAGATTGTGTTAGAATAATAGATATCGAGAGACCTGGAATGAGTAAATTAATTAAACATGGAAATAACCTGTTTTCCTTCTCATCACTTTATAAAAGCCGAATAGAAACGTTAGTATGAATAAACAACTGGCAGACAAGAAAAATTGATACACCATGATGTAATATTGTTATGACTGTATAATACGTTAGATATTATCTTTCATCTACATTACATAACACATTTTGCATTTTATGGTCTTTGTACATCCAATACAAATTTGTTGCTTCATCCTCTTTAATATACCAGATACTTGCCTGCGATGCCTATAAAGAGAGCCATCACGTAAAATAAAATGGTATTAGTATAGGGTTCTGTCCTGTGTTAGACAGAGGTTCTTGTTCTATATAGACCAAGTAAGTTATTCCTACCTTTGCATCTGAACTCCCATACACCCACACCGGAATATGTAGCTTTGTAGATCTGCATGTCAGACAAAATGGTAGGAGTATTTACAGTGCTCGGTGAGCTGGTTGCAGTTGTTCTTGACGGTGTTGTACTATTATCCATTCTATCAGTTATTATTATTTTTTTCCAAGTGACAGCCTAGTAAATAGATCTAATAAGTACGTGTGATGGAAAGTTGGTTGAAACTCGCGGTTTGTGTATATGGCGGTGTGCAAAAGATAGATTAATTTGGTTAGCGAGTGGGGTAAATATACGGATACTAAAGTTTCACGTAGCAATAATAATGGAACAAAAGCAAAGACAAGATAAGAGCATGTGAGTATAGATGTTATGGTAGACCAAGTGAACGTATGTAAAGCGTATGTACAGCTTACTTTCTACTCGTTCATCAAAAGTGGGGAAGCTTAAGTGACGTTTTGTACAACATTTCCAAAGAGCGTATGAAAAATAGGATGGGAATGCACTTATTTGGGCATTTGTGTCCAACGTTTATTACACTGCGATAATTGTTGGAAAAAAAGCAGGAGCAAGTCGCAATGGAAGGAAAATCGAGAGGTGGCCAAGTTTTAAACTCGAGTCGACCGAATAGCATGTACAAGGTTGCATATAACGAGTCTGTGTAATATGTTTAGACGCGACGCGATAGATGAGCTTTTGTGGAAATGAATGATTTTTATATTTGATTTATATGCAAATCACGGGAAAAAGGTTGAAATGAAGAATGATACAAACATGTCAGAACTTGCAACTTTTTAAATCACAATATTTCCACATGTATTCTAATGCTAGATACTTGATGTACATATACCGTTGGTCAAACGAGAGCATATTATATATCGTATTATGTAATACAGTAAGTAATATCATATCATATCATATCTCTCTCTAACATGATGTCGTCATCGATATATGATGACGTGAGATTTCAAGTAATTGTTGGATTGCGCCCCAAACTGTTAATATCAACCTTATTATTATTATTACTATGCTTACCATAACTAATCGTCGATTAGCTAAACCTTTTCGTATTCGACCCCCTCCCCCCAAAATGTATGAACATTGATGAAACATGTTACAACATCTGAACTATGAACATTTATGGGTTTGTAAAATGCTCGTTAAAAAATAAAGTATTGGAGATGATTTTCTTGCTTAATTGAGCAAGTCTGGTGTGTATGTTTTATGAATGCACGAGCTGGGCGAGTAACTACGATTGACAAACTCAATATTTACATTAAATCACTATGCGTAATTGGTAATCATTAATACATACATGACTAATGATTGTGTGTAGCAGCCAATATACACTTGTCATTCCTATTACATGGAAAAGCTGTCTTTTGGCCTCTGTTTGATTATTCTTGCCATCATTCTTTTTACATTATTTCGACACAACACGCGATTATCATTATCATCACAAGAAATTGCTTCGATAATAGTCTTTTGTACTACAATACACCCAATCACAACACCAACTTGAAACATATGGAACGACAGAACTCCCAGCTCTTTCCGTCTGCTACCGTGACCCGCTCTCTTTCTTTTTATCCCCTACGTGTAAGATCTGTACAAACGATTCTACACCATTTGGCTAGTCGATTTCAAAATCTCATACTGTTACCAAACGACCTCCCCCCCAAACGAGACTAATAATAACTACCGGCTCACTCTCCAACTCTCCAAGGAATTAAAAAAAAAAAAAGAGGAACTTAACAACCTGATCAGACTAACCGAATAAGTTTTTTTGATTTCTTTTGAAGAAGAGATGGATTTACCACATAATGTCGAGTCAACTCCCGACTCGCCCCACAAATCACAAATGCCCACAAGAGACAGAGACTCCATATGGTCACGTTTAGCTGAATCTCTAATCAGCCTCTTCCTTACGTTCTATGAGGATCTCGATCTCTGCGAGTGGGACTCCTTCCAACGCATCCTCGCTATCACGCTATCAGTCATTTCAAACATCTTTCTCATGGTTTTCAGACTGAACGCACGCGACGACGGTTTTAGTTGGACAGAAATGGGCTTTTTCACAGCTAGTATCATAAACATGATATTTCTCAGAGCATGTCATAAAGACTACCAATTATTCAGCAGACCACCATGGTCAAAGCCAAACAGCGATCACGCAAGGCTTGTCGATATCTACCCAAGAAACAACAGGACTACTGATTCATTAATAGGCGCTGCCTTGGCACCGCTGCTTGACATGTTTGCAACAACAAATAACGACGATGATCAAATATGGGAGTTAAGAGTATGGAGTCCGAACACTTTTTACGTCAGCTTATTCTCTTATTTTCCACCTACCAATATATTCATCATTCACTCTATGAATACGCACAACTGGCCGTTTCTCCTCGTCGCTCTTATATTCACAACATCACAGGCTTGCCTTTTGGCAACATTGTATTCCGGATACATCAAAGACAAGGAAGTACTATACGCCGAATCGCAGATAGAATACGATTCGTCCTTTGTCAAACGCAAAATATTCACTCTCAAGGCCGATGCCACTACCCAGACTAATCAAGAGGTCAGTTGGGATTATTTATACCCGAAAGTAGATAAATTCAATGTAACTGGATTAGTAACTGGAATACCAACAGGACCCGTAGCGACAACACCGAGTGAAAATGGGCATTTTACAGGTAGTCTGCTGAACAGCAGAATTGTTGAACATCCGAGCAAGACGAAAGGACAAAATCTGGAAGACTTTACAGATAATCCTTGGGCTGATGTTAACCCCGGGCATGCAAACAAAGTGGGAAGTGAAACACCAAGAACGCCTGGAAGAAGTAGTAACGGTACGATCACAGGCGCGAGAAGAGGATTTGGAACTCAATCGATCAATACAAGGAATCTCGGAAGGAGTAGTAGGAGTAATGGTAATAATAACAACAACAACGCTCTTAGCAGTATCAATGGGAACAGTAACCATTCTCCGAATGTTACAAAAATAGTAGCATCACCGTCAATATCAGCTCCGTCGTCAACATTTACAACACCGACGAAACCAGAGATGATGACACGACGGAGGAGGTAATGACGAGAAAAATTACGGATTTTTTTTACTAGTAAATCACCGCTGGCTTTTTTTATTTCGAATTTCTAGAAAAAGGAACATTGCATTTTTTTTTTTTTCATTTCATTTTTTCCCTTTATTCATTAGAAGGCTTTTTTCCCCTTTTCTTTTTTTTTTTTTTTTTTTACTTTTAATTATGTTTATTTAGAATCAGGCGGGGAGGGTGGAGCGGAGATGAAATAACAAGATTATCTTTTCATTGCATATAAGCATGAGCATAGTAAATATACACGACAAAGAACTACTTTACCTTTTTACTGAGCAAGTTGGCGTTCATTCCTAATTCCAGTGGATTGAATATTCAACTTTTTTGTGTGATCTTGTCTCAACTGAGCAAACCAGAGACAATCGCGGACTAGAATGTCCGTTGCGTCTTTTCCCAGGTCCCCAAGTAAATAAATTAGCATGTTTGATCACCGTTGTACAACACCGTGGTGTTGCACAATGTTCTTATTCATGTGACATTACAATGTTAAAATGCAATCACCTGACAAAGCTGGCGGAACAATGGACAATGGCTATACTCAACATGGTATATACGTTTGTTGTTAAGCAAACAATTATACAAACGTCTGGAATGCCCATTGTATCAATTAATTAATTCATTAATTTGTCTATCGTACACATGCTTGCATGGAATATCAATCCTATAGCATCTTGGGGATCTTGGGGATCGGGATTTTCACTTCCGAGAATATGATACGTCCACACAACTATAGTTCGTCCACGCCGTCCCCAATCTGTTCACTTTCGGTTGCAATATTCATTCTCATTTTCCTCCTCATAAGTTCCAACAATCAACGTTTCGCCAATTCTCTCCCGGATCCAACCCTTCACGTTCTCTTCAACCACCAATTCCATATGTACTTCCTGGAAAATATCTACAGACCTTGTCTTTTTAAATCCCAACTTTGTAAATAACTGCAAAGACGGATGGTTCTTCATGGATATTTTGGCCACGAGTTTCATAATCCCAAGCGTGTATATTGCGTAATGAAAGAGAAGAAGGAGAGAGTTTGTTGCGAGACCAGAATTGCGGGCTGTTGGGTCTACAAAAATGTGTTGCAATGAGGGAAAGTTTGGTGAATGTGTGAGATGACGAATGGAGTCTGTTCCATAGTATAGATTCGGCTCAAGTCACTTTTCTTACCTGCGATCATAACTTCTACCTCCGCAATGGACCTATCATGGGGATCGTTCAAGAACAAATTCACGTCTCCTACCATCTCTGATGAATCGCCACAGTAAGCCTTATATATAGTCGTTTCTCGCAACAAAGATCTATGCACATGGAACGTTTTGTCGTCATGAACTCACTCGAAATCCTTGTCAGTTCGCGCAAGCTACCGTTAGAGCCGTCTGATTTCTTGAGTACGATAAACGTAAGTTCTGCGCATGTGATAAGAATGGCATGACTCTTTTTCGACAAACACATCCCATTTTGCATCCCCCCACCCTCACCCATCCCATTTTGCATCCCCCCACCCTCACCCATCCCCCTCTGTCTTCTCTCCCGACAAGCACAACATACTATCATCGTCAATCAACCAACTCTGCTGCATTTCATATTCTTGCTCAATGGTAAGCGGTTCCGAAGCAGTTAGTTCTTGTATCTCTTTCGATTGCATCCATTCGTGGTAGGCAAGGACATGTTCACGACGATATGGGACTAGTATAACTTTATTTCCAGACTTGATTGAAAAGGTGAAATTTAAATGTGAGACATTTATGAATCGAATTGGCTTGAGAGAAACGATCGATACCTACTATGACTAGATTTTCGTTTATCCGCATATTCTTTTGCGGTTTGGATATCAATCAGATTTGTCTGTGTTGTTCAGTGTCACATCTATTATTATTATTGGCCAATGTTAGTTAGGTCAGCTGTTGTCTCCTGATTGGACGGAATGTTTACAACACGTGATACTATAGGTATATGGTATTGCTCGGCAAAATGCTTTGAAATTACGATCTATTATCAAACCGACCACATATTATCCAAGACTGTCAGCTTAAAAACGGTCAAAATATTTACAACCAGCTCCGCATTTCAATACCGTTGATATTTATGCACGTATACTTTTGTTTGCGACTTTAATACATAGAGCCAAATTAGAACACTTAGACAGTCCACGCATTTTGTTTAGAAAGTCGATATTAATTTGAACAGGTTTCATAATCGGGCCAATTAGTTTAAAATCTACAGTGGGTTGTAAAAGTGCCAGATTTACTAGTGGGGGTTGACAATTACGTTATATGCAATGATTAATGTTGCAGGTTGAATAACATATACAGTACTCCTATATACAGTATAAGATGCACTTACTATATCACTCTTCGAATCTTTGCGTTAAAGAGGCTAATTGTTTAAATTATTCACGTAATAAATCAGTATGTTTTGACTGTGTATTTATGTTGTTTGCCTATAGTTTTTGTCTATAATACATATTCATATGCCGCGTTTTTGCTCAAATTTATTAAATAAACGGAATCGAGAACACACAAACTGATTCTTGTTTTCATTTGTCTCGTTTAACAAAATTTAATTAGAGTGTCAATTAACTTTGCGCGATTAAATTCTCGGATTGTGGTAAATGTAACCGGTTATAAATCAACATTAGCGTAATTTATATGTGCTAATATGCTATGTATGATATGCCTAATGGTCAATTCGAGATATTCGTGTAAACTTATTACACGGCAATTGTGAATTAATAATTAAATACAGAAAAGTCGAAAATTATCTATAAGCTCGGGAGCAATCTAGTGAAAATTGAGTGATGATAATAATAATAATCAAAAAGTTACTACAAACCTAAAGATAATATCGCTTTTGTGGAAGGTATTATAGCTACTATCAATGATTCGAAATTAACTTTTCTAGAGATGTATTCTCGTCTGTCAGTTGCAACACCGTGATTCTTTCGGGTAATTGTCGTAACAAGAATGTGCTCTTTACACAATGACGACGACCATCACGTCAAAGACAAGTTGAAAACATTAGCTCCTGGAACACCCGTGTTGCCTATTCTTTCGGTGATTATTGCATGTTGAAGCCAAGTGGGCAACTTGACTTTCTTCATCGTCCATAGATCTCACTTTACAAAGAATGTTCTCTGTCGCCGTTCTACTTCAGCATAACTAGGCGTAATCATCATACTTGCAAATCGAAGGCATATAACCATCTAACCGTTCCTTAACTAGCTCTAATAAAATAATCGACCTCTCAAAATCGAAGTTTCTCGCTGAATAGTCTACTACTAGACGTTATTACTTCGAGAGGGAGGAAGCGGGTAATTCCTGTCGGTGTCCTTTCATGTTCTGTTATCTTGCAAATGTGCTGAGCCAATTCCTTGACCGCTTTTGGCTAGGCATCTTCTTGTTTATTGTGTTTGGCTTCCTTTTTATGAGCAATTTTAAGGGTATCAAATTAGTTTTAGACGGATACTAATTATAATACATGATTAAAATTAACACCCGTATCATAAGAATTAACTCACCTTTTTCGCTTCCCGCTACTCTTCTGTTATGTTTGTTATGTTGTGTTTTTGTTCTTTATAGTGCAAACCAGCTCTGAGCTCTTTCTTGCTTCCGTCCGGTTATGCTTCAAGCTTTCTCAACTTCAATAGTCGTCTATTTCATTGTGTGCAAACCTTAGCAGTGGGTGTGAGCGGTTTACCAAAAGAATATTACTTGAGACAGTTATTAAAGCAGTTTAGTTGTATTAGTTAGTTCGTAAATAGGAAAAGTCGACTATTTGAATGTCATTCATAAGTCATAAATTAAGCCTTTGTAACTAAACCGACGACTTTTAGATTATTCATTGTGTTATTAACATCGGTAACTTTTGGTCGTTCCGACCAGCGTTAATCAAGAGAGGTACAAGTCTCTGCATTTATACTATAAAATAAGTTGATTGAATTAAATCCGATTAGCTGCCATTATGGTTGCGTTTTATTACAAACCAAACAGACAGTAATAGACTACCTTACCAGTAATGAATTTCTATCATGGACTGTAAAGATGACATAACTAACTGCTTAAAATGTTGAGAAATCTCTTCGTTTCTTCTGTCTAGTCGTAGATGTTATAAAATCTATGACAAATGACAAACAAACCATTAGCGGCTTAGTGACTTGGCCAAACGTGACTCGAATTTTCATATTATCGGAATCTGCAAACAAGCGAGGGTATTATCCCTGATACTAGACCCTTTGACGAGATAAAACTTTTCTTCTACAAAGCATAAACTGTGGGAAGAAAGGATAAATTTGGAAATGTGTGACTTTATTGTCAGGGTTTGCTTTCTCTTCTCAGAGCATAACAGGGTTGTAACACCATTTTTGTCATTGAACCCTGCAAATTTGTGGGGGTTAAAAAAACTTTTTATTTATGTAATATAAAGTGTGGATTATAAAAATCACGTTATGTTTGGTGTATGACTATCATATGATGTATTTTTGATCGTATGATTTTGTCAGATCAAATGATTTTCATACCTGCATGTTTGGGACCATACGATTAAAACCTGCCGAATATGTACATAACATAGTGTTAACATATTTAATGTAATAATCCCATCAATATAATCGTTTAAAAGTTGAAGCCGAGTAACCCGAATATTAATCGCGCAGCTTCAAGTAGGCGTTTCAAACTTGAACTTACTGAATGGAAACTAGCTTTAAATCTAACCTAACGATTAACAACTTGTCCGACGTGAAAATTTATGTATACGACAAGATTTGAAGAAAAAAAAAGGTTATTTAATTTAGAATGCTTGTATAAAAAAAAAGTCTGTTTATTTAGAACAGGAAATGGCGATATAAGCAGACAACTGACACATGGAATTCTCAACCGGGTTATTGGACAAAGTATGTAACGGTAACTGAACACACGTTACACGCGGATTGTTGCAACAGTAATTAATATTCTGTATATTGTATCTCTGTTGTGTGAGTTCAAGACCGTCTCAGTTAGGAACCCACTCACTCAGTCCGGAACTCAGACACTCAGAACTGAGACAGGTCCCCAACTGAGGTACAACGCTCTATACGTCATACGCTAAATGTTGCTGGCGGACTGTAAACAATTCTAAATAATAGCACATTGATAAACTTTTTTGGAGAAGCAGTTACAGAATTCTTTCATAGTCTCAGATATTCAAAATTATTCTTAATGTTGAAATTGGACAAGTGAAAATTAATCCCTATAATAATTGAAAACAATTACAAGAATGCATATTATCTGCTTAGTCTATGAACAAGTCTCCCTTTCTTTCCTCTGTTTACCGCGTTATTTTTAAATAAACAACTTTTTCTAAATTTACTGGTAAAGAGGGAAAGAGACTTCTACCAAATTGTAATTCCATCTTTAATAACGATTATAGAATAATAAAGAATGGGTGTTCTGATCTGTCAAAGAAGACGTATACCTTATGTGACGTTAGATCAGGGTAGTGTATAGAATGTTCGCGTTACTTTAGAAGTTTGTCTCTCTGAAAGAAAGATTTCTGAACAATAAACAATAAACTTTAGAGTGTCCAAGCAATATCGAAGAGGATAATCAGAAGGCGATAGCCCCCAAGCGTAATAATGCCGGATAGAAAAGCTCGAAAGAAAAAGGAGAAAGAGCGAGAGTCCGGAACACGTAATAATGGGAGAAATTGATAACTGATGCTGGTGCTGTCGGTCGCAATGACTTTCGTAAAGGCTATGGTTACAAACGATAATCCAACCAATTGCTTCGTATGTTTAGTATTAACGCCGAGGTAATTTTGTAAATTTGCCCCTTGCTGAGCGTAGTATTAGTCTGTCTGGATGGATAACTTCGTTTAGCAGAATCTTTCTATATATAGCGGGACGTTTCATGCACGTGCTTGTTCTAATTTTGCCTCTTTCACTGTGCACAAAAAGACGGGTCTCAAAAAAAAAAAAAGATTCTTTTCTACATACTTCTTTGATTCAAACTGGTTTTTTGGGTCACATACCAAATAATGCAAACATTGCGTTAGTCATGCATTAGTTGCAAATAACAGGTGAGAGTGTTTGTATCCATCAAACTGTTTACGGCTTTCTAGCTCTGATTTTCTGGAAAAACACGAAATAACAGTTGTTTTTCTTATCGTCTTCTAGCAAGAAGTTCTTTACTCTTCCAAATTCCAAGTATAATTTTACCATCGTCCACCCTCCAATGCCTACATTTGGATTTTTGGTCACTTTCATCCTAAGCCGATGTTGTTATTTTTACGAGAACTGGATATGATGGCTTTTCTCATGTCACAAGCGGTTTCATCAAGTAGTTAATTGACGAATCAAATACCCGATACGCTTGGTAAACATTACTTTCATCCAAGACTTTCCTGTGTCTGGAAATACTGTATCTTTAATTAATGAGCTACCACCGTTTGCAAAAGATTTGTAACTGCTATGAAAGTGCCCGCGAAAAACTTAAAGAATATGATTCACACATGCACAGATGACGGGAAACTGCAAGTTCTTTGGCAACAATTCTCGATACTAACGGAACGATTTAACATAGGCCATCCTCGTTCTTTCAGTAGTGGGGCACATCGAAATTAGTCATCCGCGGTTAGCAGAAACCGTTAGTAGACTCTGCGGTACGTTGAGTGATGTATTATTATGAATAGTACGATTCCTTGGAAGACTTCGACCGTTCAGCAAGTGGACCCGATGTGAAGACAGCCAATTTCTTTATTCCTGTAAGTTGCCGCCATTAGAACTTTTCACCAAGAACGCAATTAATTTGCTAGCGTGCTAATACTAAATGCATTTTACTCAGACTAAGACATGAATAATAGATGTTGATCGGACTGTAACGAGCAGGGCATAGCGTCAACTCTAACAATAATTATCAGCTTACTCTTGTCATAAAATGCTCATCTACCAATTTCTTGCTTTTTTGCCAATTTGTATTTAGTATTAGATGGTTCTAAGCTATGAACCAGCGGGTTGAATGCCTTGAACAGTAATTATTAGTATATGGTTAATGCACAAATGCACCCAATTTCACGAATTACATAATTATCATACGAAAGAGCGCGGGGGACAATATGATTCCGTTTCTCGAAGGTTATAATGGATAGTAGTGATTGCTATAGTGGTCAATTGTATGTAACTTCGCGTCTGCATTTAATGACGATGATATCAATTACGGCTTATGCCATCATACACAAGGTAGCAACCAGAATCTCCAGATCACGACAACCAATCGAACATGATGGTATTACTGCAATGACCAACTTACTATATCTTGCGAGACCAAACAACTACAATCGACTATAAACAATTGATAGTGCTGCCTATAAAGAAGGTTTCCAAACAGTGGTGTACCTATATACATCTGCATCGTTTGAATTAGCTCAGTGTTTACGAAGCGTAAGCAAAAAAGAAAAAGAATTTCTAATTTGTATTATCTCTTTATAGGAGGATAATCAATTCCCCCTTCTTCCAAAATCAATGTCGACTTCGTTTGATATCGATTTCATAGTCACAATAACATTGTCTGGAAAAAATTTTGACATGGGTAGGTGCTTCTTTTCGGAATCATAATTCCGTTGCGCCAGATGCTAGCTACCAGTTATTTTGCGAGGCAATGTTTGTTGTACTAGGTACGTTTAACGTTTGATAATACGAATTAGTTATCAAGGAGTAACAAAAGTGGTCTGGCAACTAATAAACAATTGGCCGAAATTGCGAGAACAAAAAGTCTATAACTCATCCATGCAATATCAATAAGGTGATAAACTTCAGCAACTTATGACCATCCCTCCACAGATTTATTGCTTTACTTCTAAACTCTCAGATTCTGAAATGCAGACATTCACGAGAGATATTAATTCTCTTTTCCGTATTATTGCGTTCTTCTCACTTATCCCACTTGCAACTGCATCTATTGTCGATGACTCTTATACGTCTTACCAAGATTTATACGACGCAATTCTTACTACGCTTTTCCCAATAACCTTTGTCGTGCTGTTAAATGTCTCGGGAAAACCTGGGTCGATGAAAAAGAAGCTGTTGCCACTGTTGGACGATATATTGTACAATACAGTCACTTGGGTTATTCCATTAACGGTGTCATTTGCCTACGGTGATGAGCTGGCTGTAAAAATATTTTCAATTGTAAACATGTGTTTACATGTTGTTTGTGCAGTGGCTGCATTAATCAAATGGCAGCAAATTGGTGATGCCAATCGTAGTGATGATGGTATATGGGCTGGCATAATACTCTTTTTGACATTATTCCCCGTTTTAGTAATTCCAATATTCTGGATTACTTACTTGGTGATTAATCATATGGTTGCTTCAATTAACTTGTCATTTATTGTTTTGTTTGGAATTTTGTTGGCTTTAACATCCATCCTTATAATCGTGTTCAATTGTGTTAAAGATGATAAGACAACCGATACAATACATATTATTCTTATCGTAGTCTGCTTTTATACCCCAAACATTTTGCAAACATTATTGATTTTGCTAATGTGGCCAATCAATTTTTATTTTGTAAAAACATGCGTTTTTGTATTAGTACTGTCTTTAACTAGAAATATATCTTACTTTACTGATGAGGTACCAAACGATTTTTTGGCAACTTCAACAGCGTTTGTTCAATATGTAATTCGTGATACTATAGATAGAACGAGAAGTAAGAATGTAGATGAACCAATAAATATGAATCTAGTATGAATGTACATCCTTCCCTACCGAAGTCTTTCGGCAAGTCTTGAAATTACTAGTAAAAACATACAGTATATGAAAAAACTTTTTTTCGCAAATCTTTATACGACGACTGTGAAAACTGGCGAAAGCAAGCATTTATGCTTTCAAAAACTTGTGCTTGAGAGAGCGATTATTAAGCGTGTCTGGGACAAAAACCAACTTCACTTAGCATAATAATATGTAGTTGCTTTGCTTAGCAGTACCAGAGAAACAAGGTGAAAGTGACCGATTACAGAGCGATTATACGATCATGAGCAATTATGAGCAATTGCATAGACAAATACACATACACATATTATTACAACTAAGTAACCCGCGTTTCTTCCAGTGAACAGACGGTCTATTAATCAGCAAGATGCCAAAGAATATTAGGTAAAGATGTCACCTCAAATAAGAGAGCTTTTAAGGGTTTCTCGCTCTAGTATTTGGCTGAACCCTTCAATATAAGAAAGACTATGAAATTTTATAAATGTAGAATATTGTGAGACTCTCTCTGCATAATAATTGGTCTCTTAACGCGCATCAATACTGTTTTATATAAATAATATTCTGTTTTATCAATCAGTCAAATAACGGCATTAAGGTAGTTGAGTCTTTTTGTTCGGATTCTATGTTATTTTAAGAAAGACGTGGTAAGTGGCAGCATTAATTGGAAAAACAAGTAATTCTAGATAGATATATCTGTAATAAGAATAGTGTAAATAAACTTTTGCTATAAAAAAGACTTATTCCCATAAATAAGGACAGTCATATATCGAGTGACTTTTGATATAAGAAATTTTAATATAAGAAAGAAATCCGACTACTTTCTTATATCGAGAGCCATTTGTATAATATTTAATAAAATACTATAGTCTAACATATAGTCTTTATTTTCACCTCTCAACTATCTAATATTAGGTAGCTGATGTTAAAACTAGCTGTTGCATGTATGTGTAGCTTGAAAATAAAGTCTCACACTGATTTCAAGGTAAGCAGCAAATGACATAAACTGTCATTGAATCTGTAATCTGACCTAATACTAATATTAGTTATAACATCTCACAGATGATCCTGGTATCCTGGATGGTAGCTTCATCCTGGATGAATGCATTATGAGGTATGAGTTTTTTTATATTTATTCTGTTAATTAGATTTCGTTTTAATCCTATTCTATCATCTGGGCCAAAGCTCTGCTACTCAAGATAGAGCAAAAATGCTGAGAGTGGCTTTGTTGCTCAGTTCAGGAGGCATGACAACTGATATATCCACACTGTTTCAATTCAGCTTTTCATATTCAATGACTAGTGAGGCAATACTAATACCATACCAGAATATCAGGGAAAAAGGTATACAGTTGAAAGGATTGTCCCTCTCTTCAAGGCAATCCAGTTCATATTAATAGAGACTATATCTTGCTCCAGAAGCAATTGAATTATAAATGCTTGTAAGATGGAGCTAAGGTGTGTGGCAGCTTGATAGATTAATGAAGTTTTTATATTTATAATTCTTGCAATATAATAACCAGTATTATTCTTGAATACAAAGTGGCCAAAATTGCCTGCCAACAGACAAATTGGTAGAAAATCTATCTTGGAGCTCATAGATAAAGGGCTATTCCAGCCTATTCTAATCATGAGCTATTCTCCATGATTCTTCTACTAATGAAGACAGTGATTGTTTTATCAATCTGTATTAGTATATATACCAAGTTAAAAATTCTGTCAAATTCACATAGTAAAATAATATTATGCTTCAAGTTGAGAAAGATGCTCTTGTGATTCTCAATTAGAAGCTATCCATTCACTATTAGTGTTAGAAGGAATATAGAATATATTGAAAAAATATTGTGCATCATTGACCAACTCCATTTTATAAGTTTCTGATATGTTTTTATTTTCTGAGGAATCAAACCTAAATGTTTATTCTCAATAGGTGTATTATCATTCTGTAAACTGTTCCAAACAAGTGTGTATTAGTTGGCTGTGCCTAAAGTTTTGAAAAGCAGTTTGTATAATTCGTGCATGACCATCTTGAGATAACAGTCCCAACGATTTGAATTAAATCACAATTTCAATGTACACATACCAATACCGGCCAAAAAAAAGTGTTTACTAGTAAAGCATAATAAAATTTCGTAAATCTTTATCTTCGACGTAAGCTTTTATTTTTCGCTCAACATTTTTATACAACGTCTCGTGTGGTCTAACAATTGATAAAGTATCATATTGTCTTTCAGTCTCAAAGAGTTCAATCATTAGTACCATAATAATTGTAGATACACGACTCTATATATTTCATATCATATCCAGGACGATTGTTAAACTGAGTTTCACTATTTAGCTTTTTATTAATATTTGGAATAATTATAAGAGATGTACTCGATCATGTGCCCGATAAATAATCCGCAAAACCCACAAGTGAGTTTATAAGTGGCTTGGGGTTCGTTTTCCACCCGATCCTTGAAGTCGCGTTAAATGGCGGATAAGATATGCGCGCGACATTCCCTTTACTAAGTACTTGTTCATTATTTATATAGATATGTGCGGTTTCTTGACCCACAATAACAAATATGGTCCAGACCCACAAATATTTTTACATCGTATTCGCAAACGAATCGATAAGGCGGAAGGCAGAAGAACTCTTGATGGATTGGCAGGAAAGTACATGCAGACATTACTCATGTTTTATGAATAAAGGATAAAGGTGAATCTCACCTGAAAGAGATATTGGTTGGTGAGGACAAGTCACACTGCTTGCGAGGGGTGTGATGATGGGTTGCGATTCCGTTCTTACCAGCTGTCTTCAGCAACAAGTCACATTGCTTGCGAGGTTGGGTGATGGGTTGCGACTTGCATTGCCCCTTGAACCAAACTGTTGTAATCTTTCTTTCTTTCTTTCTTTAGATCTTAGATCATTGCATAATAACAACATTGTTAATACATATGTTTGATAAGCGGTGTAATCCTGAAAGACACAAATAATAGTCCGTTGTTCAAGAGTTATTGCTCACTATCTTTGGAGGTATCGGCATTAGAAAAATGCGCGGACCCTCCAAAAAGGAACACAAGATAAAAAGGACGTCTCCCATACATGAGCAACCCGGGTCTTGTGACATTGTTTTGTTTTTGTGCTATCGCTAGCGGCAAGACTGTGCATATTAAACATGCCCAAGCGCAAATTTAGGTAATTAGGCTGAATCTTTTGAATAAGCATAATTGTTTGCAATATTTTGTCTAGTTGGGATGCACCCACAATTTTTGTAGAAAACCGATTTTCCTCGAGTATTCATTCACATTTTTGTCGAATAACAATATTTTTAAGATTAAAGGGAGGTTTCTGTTAACACCAATTCATGCTGTTTCCATAATCAGATTATTTACATCGGACAGCAATCTTATCATGCTTATCAAAGCATTGCACAAGTTCGCAGGATAACTTGTTTATTAATTGTTTGCTATTAAGGGATAAGTCTATGCAGAAGGGTGTTTTATGTCGTAATGCCCCGAGTTATTTTAGATGACAAGCCCCCCTACATGATCTTTTGATGTGTGAGAGCTTCTCATTACAAGCTACAAGCACGAATGAATGCCGTCTCATTTTCATGAGAGTGTGCAGCGAGTAATGAGACGTGGAGCCTTAAATGGCATACTAATACGCCATTGGCCAAACCGCCTTTCAGTTTCCATTTGCCAAGGAACGGGACCATTATAAATATGTTTCATTGTGAGGTTTGCGCCAAACCGAAAGAATGATTACCTGACGTCATTGTACTAATATTGGGTATATTACACAAACATTTTACTTTCAATGTGTTTATATAGTATGTGTTTATTCGGACGAGATAACCGCGAGAAAAGCGGCAAGATTACGCACACAACGCCACAACGCATGCAAAAACAACCCTTTCCAATTAACAAATTACTATATTTACAAGGTGTTAGTAATAATAATATATATAATATCAAACATATCAACAAATATAACAAATATCAATAGGCACCCAATGAGGAACGAATTAAATAGCTGGATACGACCAGCATACGTTATTTGACATAGTACATTTAAATGTTTTTCGTAACACAAAGTTCAGATAAACGAATATAGATAAAAAAAAAGATAACTAAAAATGAAAACTTAACAATTCTTCCCAATGAATTAAAATTGAAGGGTAAATGATATAGAGTACTACTAATCTTGGCCAGTTGGGCATAAATCGTTACATGATGGCATTCTGAAAGACCCTTCTCATCAAAATAAAAATAAAATTTGAAGCCATATGTATGAAAGCTATACGTAATCATTCATTCTTTCCAGACAGACCAAAGTAAAAACATAATTGGGAAAAAAGCAAAATAGCGTGAAAAACAAGCGAAAGAAATCAAAGGGGGTAGTAAATGTGTGTTTGTGTGTTCCATCATACAATAAAAAAAAAGATCTTATGAACTTTAATGTGAGCAGCCGAAAGATAAAGATTAAACATAAAAAAAGAAGAGGCCTTTTTGTGTCACTGATTTGATGATAGGATGAACAGTACGAGTAGTTAATAATATATGATAATTAAAGGAAAAATAGAGAATAGTTCAGTATCATATATTTGTCACCGAAAACGAAAATGTTGAAAACATTTTCGATAAACCGACAATCGATCTTAGTTTTCTCTCTTCTTCTCTTTATAATCTCTCTCACTCTCCATGATCATAGAATTCATCACTTACTCGAAGAACGAATTTCCAACGGGCGCTTCTTATCTCCTTTAACGTTTCGTCATCCGCGATTTGAATTTTTTTTGTTGAATGCTTATTCGGTTAATAAAAATAAATTCTTATATAATCATAGTGATATAAATTATTGGTGTTTTGCAGATGAAAGGAAGAGGAAGTAGAAAATAAAGTTTTTGAAAAAAAAAATTTTGTCCTAGCGCATTACAGATCCTTTATATATACACATATATAAATATATACATATATATATATTCACTCACTCTAATGTATCATTGTCCATGCGTAACAACCCTCCTTTACAATCTGCTCCATAGTCTCTCTCCAGTCTCATTACACTCTTTCTCTCCATAGCCACTCCTCGTCTTCACTTTTTTTTTTGTTCCTACGGTAACAGCAAAGATCTGACATCTGTCAGCTTGGCCACCTTCGCATCTGCGCTTGGCGATGTCTCCGAATTCGATATGCCGTCCTCATCCGGTGAGTTAGGCGATTGGAATTGCCTGGCAGACCGATCGAAATCATCCCTTTCTGTCACAGATCCATTGCTGACATAGTGATCGCCAGATGACGGAGATGGAGTCGGGATCTCGTAGCTGTGGTCTGCTTCTGAACGTAATTGTTCGATCTATTTGATAAGATAATCAGTGATTTGTTAATGAGAATGGGTAAGCGGTTAGGAACAGGGGTTGATGTAAAAAGGGAGAGGGGGAGGGTGAGGGGTAGTCGATGTATTGAAGAAGGAGGAGGAGGAGGAGGACGAGAAGAAGAAAAAGGTAGTCGTGCAAGATGAAAAGGTATTGATGTGGAAGGAATGGGTTGGTGAATAAGGAACGAGATGGTAAATGGTAAGTAATAACAAATAGGTATCACGTGAATTAATATGGCGGTACATAATTAACGAGAAAGAGAGATTAATTAGATATACTGGTAATGTTTTACCATTCATTGATTACCTATCTCTCGCAACCGATCAACGATCGTTCAAATCACAGGATTTTTCTCGTCCTCATTTACTCCTCCTCCAAGTATATGTACATCTCTCTCTTTCTCGCTCACGCACGTACACATACATACTCATTCACTCACTCACACATTATCTCTCTCCCTCTCTCTTGTTTCAATCTTCTCTTCAAAGGTTTCAAACATGTCCTAATTACCTGCGACTCCAACTCTTTGATTTTCTTCAATTTGGACTGATTTTCCTTGTTTGCCTCTTCCAATTTCTTTTCCAGCTCGTTGATCTTCTTGACACTATCCAGACCTTCCAATTTTTGGATACGCTTTTCCAAAAACTGACACTTTTCCTGCATTTCCTTTTCTCTTTGCTTCCGGCGATCGCGGAACCTCGCCGAAGCGCCAGCATTACGACGACGTTTTTCTGCCAATAGTTCGGTTGCAGGATCGACGGGCGGGGGATGACGCTGGGAATAGTATGGATGATGATGATGGAGCGGTTGGTGATGATGCTGAAGAGAAGGTTGAGATTGAGGTTGAGCTTGTGGTGGCTGTAATGGTTGCGGTTGATGCTGCTGATGCTGTCGAGCGGCGGCAGCAGTCGTGTAGAACGGATGTTGATTCAGGTGAGCGTGAGTCGTGGGAGTCGTGGGCGAAGGATGAGGAGGAACGGATACCGGAGGTACAACCGAGGGGGGGACTGGGTTGATTAAGTGTTGTTGTGGTTGTGGTTGTGGTTGTGTTTGAGTTATATGATTCACAGTAACATGACCTTGCGAATAACTCGTATGATTGTATTGCGATGTGTCAGTATATGCGTAATGATTAGCTCCCACCTGTATGTTCCCTCGATCATATCCTTCCACCTGACGCTTAGCCGTCGGAGGCGATTGGATGTATGATGATAATTGAGACATGTATGGAGAGGTGATTTTGTGTTCGTTGGGAAATTCGGACGGAGGAGACACTACCGAGGGTATTGGTGGGGCAAGGCATGAAACTGGAGGTAGGATAGGAGGAGAAGGTAATTGTCGTTGTGGTTGAGTTGGTTGGAATGTTGTAATTGGAGGCAATAGCTGCGAGGTTGATGAACGAGCCATGTTGCCTGACAGGGAATGAAGAGGAAAGGGGAAAAGGGAAACTCGTAACTTTTTCTGTGTGGTGTGTGGGTTTAGTACAACAGCGTCGTTATTGAGTAAGTATAGCGTTGAAAGACGAGTAGTTAGTAGGGTGTCTTAGTTAGCTGTGCTTATTCGGATCTTAGTTATAGCCGATAAGACGTTTAGAATGGATTGCAATAAGAGGAGCAGCTTAGGGTGATTACAATCTCTTGATATCGGTATGCATTAACGGACATGAAAAATATCGACTTTTTTTTGTGATGTCGATGCAGGAAAAAGTCTTATCACCCTTTTTATTCGATTATTTTTTGGTTGGCGTGGGGGAGTGACTATGGTGGTAATGAGATATTTAGATAAACTAGTATCGAGCATTTCTCCGAGCCAGTTAAGGGTTTGTCGCGTGAATAGTTTATAACTGAATATGTGTGTTTGGGGACAGATCGCTGAAATGGGAAAGCTTCGTAGGACCAATGATGCCATTATTGTAGTGATGGGAGCAAAAATATTAAGAAACAAGTATGGTGCATATATGATGTAATGCAATATTAATAATGTAATATAAATAATGTATGTACTATTAACTATCTATTGCTACACATGTGACATGAATTGATTGGTCAGCTGTCAATAAAATGTGATGGTATAAATAATGTAATATAGGCAAACAATTGTGATGTGATATATTTTTTAAATCGATACTTTTGTTGAGTTTATTGTTAACGAATGCCAATGTCGTGTAATACAATAATATGTTATCTACAACTGATAAAACAAAACTTGACACTTCTGTTGTAATGAGTAAAAAAAAAAACTTTTTAGATCGTAACATTACATCATACTATTTTATACTATCAATTTTTTAAATATACGTTTACATTACAATTGATATCACGATAATTATAAATAAAATAAAGAATAAAGCGTGTATTGATTATTGTTATGGCAACAAATAATACTCTTGTTTCGCTCGTATAGTAAACAACATTACCAAATGTTTTGGTCTCCATCGCGAACGTCCGATAATTAATGTTCTTCTCAGACGAATTGATCGTTTAAACACCCTAGTTATTATACGGCGTATACAAAAAAAAGTGACATTTCAAATGCAGTATCACGTTCCGATATAATCACTTTTATTAGCAATTACCACACGAAGCCGCCTAATTGATAACAAGCAAAAAGAGCCGATATAAGATCAGCAATATACCTTTAAAATCAGCAGTCTGTTTCCGAGGGGCCACTCTTTCCCCCGACTCTCTTCTTTATCCTCGGCCGCATTCAACCGCTCGGCCGTTGATCGTCTTCACTGTCGAGTTTTTTCGGTGATCAACTTTTCATAATTCGGATCTCGGTTGTCAATGAGGAGAAAGAGGGAAAAGGATTGGCAGAGATTACTGTATGCTGACGGAAAAAAGGCGCCCGATTTACGTAATATACCCTTAAAGCGGTTAATCATAATCGGCATTGCGTGATGTGCGAGTATCGTCATCTTGGTTTGGAGATAATGAATCTCGATGTTAGTGCAATCGGTTGAAACTACCTACATCAAACTATCATTTGTAAATGAGAAGAAAATGTGAGCGAGGAGGATGAAGGGCTAAACCCTCGGTAATGCATCGCTCGTCATTTATTATTATTATTATCAAACTCGGGACTACTTGCCAGGAAAATGGTTCTTGTGATTCTTCTTGCTCATCTTTCCGATGCTGATGATTATGCCCCGGCTTTAATAAAAATAGCCCAAAGATCGGAAATTCTCTAGATGGAAGAGGAGAAGAATGTTTCCTAATGTGTGATGCCTATAAATCATGGCTAAAGCGTGTTGCATCAAAGAGGTAAGACTGGTCGTATTGACAAAATTGCTTAATGTGTACCCTCTTATCTAGGTATTAATACAAGACTGTATCTGAACATTGCAAGAGTAAAATATGATGGTTATTACCCAGCGATTACAAACTTCTGGAAACGATACCTTCAAGATGCGATTTCGTACAAGTAAACATTACCATCTTTGTAAATGGGGAAATTTTACGGATATGAATAGTCACTCAGTTGGAGTATTTGCACTCGGATTACGTCATACACTGTTCTGTTGTTGAGATCAGAGATTCGGATCCTCTCTCTTTCTCTCTCTCTTTCTCTTCTTTGCTATATATATGATCGAAGTTTCCTTTTTTCTCTTATTTGTTAAAAATCGACTCTAATTCTCGATAAGGAAAAGCTTATCGGTTGATCAGGCAAACAAGGGGTGAGCCACTTTAACAACAGAAGAAAGAAAGAAATTTGAATTGGTGTATCGTCGATTATCGATCAGTGCAACGAGGAAAAATTGTATTTGTGTGATTATACAATCTTTTTTAGAGGATATTTGTCATAATTTTCAATTATCACCCGTACACATAATTAGTTCAGATATTGATACACAACTTTATTATTGTAGTATGCATAAATAAAAAAAAAAGAGTGTAATACGAACTAAGCTTTATTTACGGAGATCCGTTTAATTTGACCAAATTCATCATTTAAAGCATTGGTCTAAATAAATCTGACTAAAATCCCAAGACTTTTAAAAATATTGGCAAGCCAAGAGACAATTGTGCATTATATGAAAGATGTTAAGTCTGAAACTGTGTTTGTACATATGACAATATGTGTTGATACCAAGATTAAACAAACCATTCTAAATAATGCATTAGATTGTTGATTATATTGGTCAGTGTCCCAACGTTGCGAAACACGGGTAACCGAAATAAATGTTGCAGAAAACGGTAGGCAATTTGATGTATGTGTCATTGAGATCGTCTTTTGGACATAAAACAATAGTGTATGATGGAACAAACAACATATTTGTTATTGCTGTCGTTGTTGTTGTTGTTGTTGTTGCTGTTGTTGCTGTTGTTGTTTACTGTACTGTTTATTATATATATCGCTACGTATATAATAATATACAGTGCATCACATATCTATAAATATTTATGTCACTAAAACTTAAATACTTTCTGTACTGCCAAGTGTCTAGACCTGGGACTATTTGGATACGTAATCATGACTGCTGTGATACCAATCATTATGTGCGTAATAAATAAAATATATTAACTAATAAATAAATGTTTACATTTGATTATCGGCATATTACTCTGTGTCACAAATATTTGTGACCTCACTCGCAAGATGTATATGCTTTGGAAATCCCATATCTCTACATATCAATTATCGGCGCAAAAGAAAAAAGGGGGAGGGCGCTTATATGTCGATGGGCAAAAAGATTTTAGGCTAAAATTTATGATTTTTATTGGAGGAGAGGGGCGAGAGAGACAAGAAAAGTAAGCAGAAAGAAGGGAAACACATTTGTGGCTTCTTGAATAGAAAATTGTCTTGGCAATATTAATCATTCCATGGCTCGTTCGTAGTTCTCAGTATTCTCTCACTTTCAACTAAAAAGCAGTTTTGTTCTCCTCTGTCATTTGTGTGCGATCGACGTTAAATAAAAACACAGCTGCATATTTAATTTGTGTGCGACGGTTAGGTAATGTACGTTATTATTATCGTATATCTAATATATACGAATACTGTAAATTGCTTTTTTTTTTTATTGATAGGTCTAGACAAATGGGAGGCTGTTGGTGAAGTAGGCACGTTTCCATGGTCCCGAGTCAGAACAGAAGAGCTGATCTCCTTATCTCAAAACGAGTCTTTTTTTTTTCCACCAACCAAAACAATAACAATAACAAAGCAGCCCAGATAAAACAGGTGGATTGGAAACCGATATTCTTCCTATTACAGTGTACAGTCATTATTACAATCTAAACAATCAAGAACAAAAAAGGATGAGAGGAAGGGGGGATACAATCGCTGCAGTCCACTGCAGTTGTCTGATTATCTACATTTGTTTACTTTCTCAAGCTCTGCCCAGAGTCAATAAGAAAAGAGGCTTCGATATGGGCGATGACGATCATCCAGAAACAATATCTGATTGGATAACAGGGTTTAGAATATAAATAATACTGTTTATCAAATATGCACATCAGAAATCAATTGTTTATTTTCTGCGTGCTGTTTCGTCATATTGATTAAAGATCATCTCCTTTTCACTAAAATGGAAATGGGTGAAACGTGAAATAATGGGTGACAATTGTTACACGATGAAATTTACTATATTAATATAAAAACGAGACCAAAGGAACTTGCGTATTCGAGTGTTTTATTGGTCCAGCTTACAATATACAATATAACAACAATAACAACAATAACAATAATAACAACAATATTAAGTATGAGATAATGCCGGAACCTAACTAGCGGACTAAGCATGTGAATAAAGTCAAGAAATGCATTATATGCATGTCTGCGTATAAATGCATATTTTTAAAAAGCCCTCTTTTTTTTTTCTCTTGTCTTTTTTAAACTAACGAATGTCAAATGCATGGACCCGATTAGCGTACGTGCAAAACTTTTAGCAGGAAAAAAACTAGAGTGGTCTAGAACCGAAAGGTAATAATCACTTACTACGATCCCGACAACGTCTTACACGATTGGTATATATTGTTGCTATTTCGAGTCTTAAACGTTTACCCGTCAACGATGCTTCATGCTTCTAATTATCATCATTTTCAATTGATTTGATACGAATGTTCCCTCATCGTATTAACATCACACGTTTCCAGATAAGTCAACAAGATGACTCTTGTTGTGTACGAACTGTACGGATTGGCAATGTGCATCAATAAAAGGCGAATAGACCCAATGAAGGCCCAAATGAGTTGGCAAGTTTTGATTACAAGGTAACCTGTATGTTATACATATAACCGTTCCATACAAATGATTTATCATTATTCGCTCTTTCTCTCTAATATCAAACATTACACACACGCTTGACTATAAACCTGTAAATGATGTTTATCGACGTCATAATGTGATTAAATATAGCATTGAAGAAGAGAAACACGAAAGAGTTTACCGTCAACATGCAAGCATTTATTTGATTATAGGTTTAGGATATTTGTGACACTGTGATTCCCAACTGAGTAACTCGCTCGTTTTATGGATCCATCTATGTGTAACTTCAAGTTCGGCGGGTATTTTCGCCAATTGAATTGTCAAGTGTCTTGGATTTCAAAAGGTGAATCGGGATTGCAAGGAAGTCCGATATGTAGATAACCGGGAAGACAATTGATAACACGTAAGAAAATCTCTTAAATATCCCAAAAATGCTAATGCTCTCTAACTTTCTCAACTTGTAGACAAGATCGATAGTACATGCTCTTGTTTTATTTTTCCACACCCGATCAAAATTACATTACCACTTGTACGGATCCTGTGAGCCAAGGTTTATCATGTATAGAAAAGATGTCTAATGTAAGTAAATTGAATATGGGTCTTGTCGGGATTACGTCAATAGTCTTGCGACTACATGAAGTATAGATCGCTGACAGCCTTACCCCATGCAATTACGTATCCCACGCTCTATCTGCCCACATTACCTTAACCTATCCAGTTGCGCATAAACAATGCTTTTACGTCACTATTCACTCCGCCACAATGACAACATTTCCACCTGTACTAGGCGTAAACTTGCATGATAGAAGGTTAGCGCATACACATAGCTATAGTTCATACACATCAATATTCGACGATACAATTCTAAATAAATCTTTTTCTATGCCATTTGTTGAAAATAGAACCCATCTTACGAGCATCGATTAATGCCCTGACTATAACGACTGACTTTTTCTACAATAACGAATAAAGCGTAATCTAACTCATCAAGAAGAAATACCCCTTATTTGATGTCACGGGATTTAATTTTTTTTTCCCTGAAAATCAATGAGCAGCAACAGACAGTGGTCACATGTAAGAATATAATACTGCTTTATGACATCACAATTTCCGAACGTGGATTAGGGTTTAAGTAATAACGACACACACAATCCACAAACAAAGTTTGCTTGCCAACTGGGGGCGTTTGAATCGCAGGTTACCCGGTCTTTTCAAAATCGGGGTCTCAAAAAAAAGGGGAACGTCATTAATGAAAAAAGAAAAGGAAAAAAAAACAAATCACATCAACAACCAGTAGTTGCCAGTACATAATACACAATGGGAAAACGTTCGTTTTTATCCTTGACTGTCTATTAATAACCTAACGCATCCAATCGCCCTCTGCAAGTGATCGAATCGCTACGTAATTTCCTCTATTTCTCTCTCCATTACGCACATGAACATGAGATTTAGTGATTGATTGAACGAAAGATTGCATTGTATTGGATAACTTTATGAATGATAAAGTTGGGATTACAGTATCATTATGTCAGAAATGATGTCAATTCCCCAAAATCAGGTATCTATACTATCACAAGTTCTCTGATTGATGTACTGTACTTGTTTCATAGCTCTTTATCTTCTTACCATTAAGGGACGAAACCGTTTCATTTACCCCTTGGAGGAGAAACTCTGTAGAGCATATGCTGCTTGCTGCATGTCAGGTATACAAGGGGTGACGGTGGGGAAGCGGAAAAACTCGAGAGTTAAATTTTTCTAAATTCTTTTCCTCCACCGGATGGAATTCATGTATATTCGAATTGCCAAATTAGGATAACTCGGAGTCGTTAGGTCATTGCGTCGTTCGCTCGTCACTTGTACTAACTTTTTCAATGCTTTCTAGACAAAATGAGCAGTTTGCGTTAACTGCCTATGTGTTTGCATAAAAAAAAAGGCCAATGGTTAAGAATAGAATAAGAATTATTATTTTTGTTATTTAAATTGCAGATATTAATATTAATATACTAAATTTATCTTCCAAAAGCCTTTTTTGACAGGATCGTGTCTGCCTGTTTTGGATGTGCTCAGCAAATAAACAAAAAGCCTTATTCCTGTTATTGTTATATTGACATAGTCATGCAGTATTCCTATTATTGTTATATTGACATAGTCATGCAGAAGCCACTTTTTGTGGTCTAACCATTTTATAATGAACTTTGAATGTTTAATTCAAACAAACGAACACATATATTCGCACATTGTGCAGTCGTCCTAACCTTCGATGGATATTTGTCACTAAACTATCTATCATGTAGGGAATTTTAATAACATTGTATATTGCAAATTTTAATGTAACCGTGTCCAATTCTGAAACACAAACCATCACAAAACGTCATTGCGAGGCTGAAAAAGTTGATCATAAGACTAATTTAAGAATATACAGCTTATCATTATTTGGTTAGTAAGCAACTACCAAACTTTGTTGTATTTGCTATCTTCTAAAATTATAAGAGTCTTTGAATTTTGAACTCAAATCAAAAAATAAATAAGTCTTTCCAAAAAAGTTAATCCAGTGGATGAACCATACACGACAACGCAAATTGCGCGCATGAACTGTCAAAAGGCCCAAGTTTACATACAACATCTAAACATCACCATCGCATTACCAGCATAGTTACATTTACGGTCAGTAAGATTGTCTAATAACGCTTGTAAAACCATTGATGTAATGTCTGCGCCACAAATAGACATTATAGCATTAACATTAGAATTTATAAATTACTTTTTTTGTAGAGACATCACACGCGAGAATATCGATGATCTGTTCAACTTGTGTCAACAATTGATTGCTTCGAGCGTGGTAAGAAAAAAAAGGTAACTCTACATGCACGTGTATATACAGTAGTACATATGTTGGACATACTGTACAGTATATACACAAATCATACACAGGACTTGTGAAGATGTATAGCTACAACAAATAGTCACTATCGGTTATTAATATTAAAGCTAATGTTGATCTTTATGTAACATGTGTTATAGAGCTTTTTCTGTTGATTAATGGAAATCAAAGTTACGGTTTCAAAATTCTAAATTAATTAAATCTTTTGAGCTTGACTATACATAGAAATTTGGCTTATGGAATATCCAAACAAATATATATGTAGGATCAACGAGGTATCATTATTCCATAAATGACAACTATAACCACGAGTTTTTGAAATGTATTTGTAAAAGTATACATTTGATCTATACATGAATTTCCACTTTCCAAAATATTCGACAATAATACTGTGTTAAACGTCATCTGAGGACATTTGGGTCGACGTTCAAGAACATGACTTTTCCCATGAAGCAAAAAGCGAGAAGTAAACACGCACGTTATATAACTATGTTCTCTTTTCTTTCTACTTATAACAGTGAAATTTATTTGTAGGCACCATTCTGGAGCTCTTCTAACAGTTGACGCATAAAGAGTATGAAGAAAACCAAGTAAGCAAATGACGCCCGTTTATTGGGAAGATTGTTGAGCGTGGCAATGGTTAGAATGCATGCAAGGATGAATGGAGAAGTGGCAAGATATAACGTACGGCTTATAGGATGGTCGTGTTGGGAGCTTAGAGTATTTCATAGCAATGCTATTACATCACTATATGCTATGTATGTAATAGAAACTGATGCTTTCTTCTTTCGCGACTTGTCTTGTTAGGAGACGTGGCTCTCTGTATCTATCTCTTCGGCACCCAGTATTATAGGCATTAGAATCTAATGACACGTACAGACATGAAAAAGATTACAAAGGTTAAAGAGAACATTTATCATGACAAAACTCCCCTGTATGCTTATTAAGGCGCATGCTTTGATACATAAGTAGTCTGTGTTAGAGATCTAATGTAGTGTTATCAGTCTTCCGAGAGACATAAATTTCTCGGTTGCCAGCCTGGCACTTTTATCAAGACTACATGCTAATCAATAGCCGAGTTGACCGTTTTAGGCAAGGACATCTAACCGTAAAGTCTATGTGCCAAAAGGTTTTGCTTGCTCATTGCTCATGTGTACTCAATAATAGTCGCGCATCGTCCAATGTTATGAGGTTTTTTTGCAAACAGCCTGGTTCTGGAAGAAAAGGTCAAACCAAATTTGAGAATATTTTTTTGTATAATAACCGGTTTGAGATTTACGGTATCATTCGCAATCCAAGCGAAATACAGTAGTACAATATTGGTTAAACAGTCAGTAGCATAATGATGTCATTGTGCAAATTCCAAGTTATTGGATAATCACTGCGACATTGTACGCTTGTTACATAAAGAATACAACACCGATAGAATTAATTGTGACGTTGCAGTAGTTGTAAAGAAAACAAAGTATTCTCCACACGAATACACGTATTATTTCATAATCAATATAGCAGAACCATAGTTATATTTTTCAGATAAAAGAAGCTCCGAACAATCAAAGCTTGCGATAACATTGTACCAATCATAGCTGATGAGAACTGTCGTCTTTGTAATGAAATAATTAAGTAACCAATTACCTTTCCCAGTATCAACATTACGCAATAAAAGCAGAAAACGCAGAAGACTTCTCCCATCGCGCCAACAGAGTTGCTATAATATACACAAATCTTGCATATTTATACAAAAGTGCTGTATAGACGTTTTACAGCTTATATTCTTGGTCTATTCTGTAAAAACAACTTTGGCTTAGTAAATAGCATTGACATCAATATGAATGTAAGATGTTGTCTGATCTCACAATACCAAATTTAGTTGTAATGTGATATATTATAATGAGCAGACAGTTCAGATTATTCAAAAGAATCGTTTAAGGTGGTTTACTTGCATTAATTGAAAGTCGTAGGTTTGACAGCAATCTCTACACGTCAAATATGATTTTACAGGAAATATTTATTGTCACAATTTTATATAAACAACTTAATACAAGAGCACGGCTCTTACTTCTATGCATCGCGTATCCATTACATCAATAAAAACTCATTGCTTTAACTAGAGTCTCACGTAAACCCAAAGCCAAGTTTAAGTAGATACCCTCATCAGAAGCCTCAGTAGCACAAAATTACTTGCACAATGGATCCAGATGTAATAAAAGTTACTATAGCTAATACTTGTTTCACTAACATCACGGAATATCACATGATCAAGGCCAATGCTAATTAGTATTAGAGGGGGGTGTTAAAATTTTTAACGCGACAATCTGCTTGCTATTTTATTGATTTCTACTTGCATTCGGTACATGTATATAAGAAAACTTGCGTATACAAGTCGAAAAAGTTAACAAGACTATATCCGTAAATAACTTTCTCGTCCTCGTGTCAAATATCATCCGTTTCGTCTTTATATTTAAACTGCAATGACATCTCCCAACTGTTTCTCGGTTTAGGCAAATCTTCAATAGGTAAGAGCATACTAGAGTATTTATTCTCCTTTTCGAGCCGTGATAGGGGTCTTACCTCATTATGATAAATGGTATTCCAAGAACTATCCTTGTACGTCTGCGTAATAAGCTTGTTAATGTATACCCAAAGTTCCCATGCGCTTGGACGTTTGTCAGGATCGGCATCACAACACCACTCGGCAATTTTTTTATAACCCGTCGGCGCTGGATCAGGCATCATTGGCCGCAGTCCACCCATAATATCACATACTAAACTTCGATCAAATTCCCTATCTCTAAAAGGCGGTTCACCAGTGGCCATCAAATGTGCAATAATGCCAAAAGAATAGATGTCTGATTCCTTTGTAAATTTGCAAGTATTGAAGACTTCCGGTGCAATAAAGGGTAAAACGCCTCGAACGGTTGAGTTTGACGCGCGAGAATTCACTGATCGTGAGAGACCAAGATCGCATATATATAATTTACTTGGTTGAAAATCTTTTTCTGTTTCAGCATGCACAATTATGTTTCCGCTATGAAGATCACAATGCACTAATTCCGCAAGATGAATTCCATTCAGATGAGATAGAATATCCTTAAAGCACTGTAATTTCATTTTCCACGTCAATTTGTTAATATTTTGGTCCAAATAAGACAAAAGATTACCACGATTAGCATATTGCATAACGATCATATACTCTTTTGTTTCTGGGTCTTGTGTGAATCCATACATTTTAAGAAAACTCGCATAACGCGAGCAGTTGACGTGATTTCTGAACTATAAATAAAAATAAAGAGTCAGATTAAAAATATCTGCTAATTAACAATATCAAAAATTGCTTACCTCGGAAATAAATATCCGGTCACAGCCATTAGTATTAGTATTAGAGCGTTTGAGAACAACAATTTCGGGAATCCAGTTGCTTTTACACTTGGCAGTATAGACCGTTCCATAACCACCAACTCCAATCTGTTTAATTTCATCAAAGTTGGTATGCTGAATGTAGTTTATATATTCGTTAGTTTGTATAAATTTATCCAATAGTGCAGGGACATTGTAGTAGAGCACTAAATAATATTCTTTTGTGGACGGCTCTTGAGTTATGCCAATTATCCAATTATTATCCGGTGTTAATATCTCTGGATATTCTTCAGTTAGCTGTTATAACAAAACAATATAGTCGCATCAACTTAAATACGAACTTAACAGTAATACTATTTGCATTGTTTTACGTGTAAATTAACCCACCTGATAAAAATCAAATTTCCGAGTATCATGTTTGTCAGCTATCTTTTCGAGTGTCACTCTTTTTGTTACCAGTTCTGTCCTATCTGCTATATGTGTGCATCCATGGCGTAATAATGTCATCTGTCGTACGTTCGTCAATCGAGAATACTCTATCCATTGTATATAGTTATCATCTATACTATTGGTGTTACCCCACGATTCCATAATAAATGAATCTAAAGACTTGTTGCCCGTAGTCCAATCGGGAAGCGCTGGTGCTTTACATTCAAAGCAGAACGTATTTATCTTTGGTCCTAACGGCAATGTGCAAGCCAGACATAATCCCTTCTCATCTCGATCTCTTATTAGATAATACTTCTGTTCACTTGCATTGTATGTAATTCCAACAGTAACCCAAACATTAGTGGTAAGAATATCTGGATTCTCATCACATAACTATGAAATTATATATCAAGTCAATGATTATCTAACAACCAATAAGCATAATATGTTCACAACTGAATAATACCTTGTCATGATATGACTTATCTGTCTCATCTGCTAACTCAAGCGGAATTAATTTTACCGCACTATTAGTAGGTAGACCGTCTAAAGATGTTTGATTAATACAATCATATGGAATCCATTCTAAATAGGCCTCATTTGCCGAACTGGTTTGTATCTGCGATTTCTTAATATGCTCATAAAGTCTCCTATCGATACTAGGCAATTTATCGGATAATTCTTTATGCCCACACTTGCACCATACAGGACTACACCTGAGCGTTCCACATATAGAGCAGAATCCGTATCGAGAATAACAGTGATAAAAACGATTATGAGCAACCAGATAATAATTATCTTTATACTTGGTAAATCCCTTTATCATGCTATTGCGATAGAAAAGCCATGTGGAATATCTTCTGAACTGACTATCGTAGTTACAGTACTTGTGCGTTGGAAGTGTGTATATTCTAGCAAACTCGCTAACAAATGCTGGGGTGCATATTTCATTACTTCCAAGTAACACCATCATTACCATCGTTTCATCAACTCTACCAAGCAACGTATCCTTGGGAACATACTGGATAACATCCACTGGACTTGACTTTATGTCGGAGATTTCCAAGCAGGGAACCCATTCAAGTTTATTAGATTCACTTTCCAAGGAGGATCGAATCACGTCGTCAATAGCTGGATTATGAATATCTGTAACCAACGACATTGTTGAATAAAAGAGAAAGAGTATTTTCAACATTCATTATGTTGCATCCGCACGTCTCGGATTTACGACTGTGGCGCATAATGAACGTTTATTCAACCGCAAATAGTGATTATTATTATAGTCAACGCATTCGTCGACTAATTTGGACTAGTGTGAAAACCGTGCGAATTTGACATCAGCTAATTTAATTTGTATCACCGATCTGGAAACTTTGATCAAATCGATGAATCGGATATTCCATATTAATATATAATTAAATCAAAACCATAAACCTGAATAACCGAAAAATCACAACTAAACGAAATTTATGTAAACTGTCACAAATTGGCGAATATCTAAACATTTCTTATTCACTCAAACTATCGGACTACCAAACATTATTTGAGCCGTCTTGGCATATTAATATATGATTAGCACACTTGTGTATGGCAATTTTATTTCCGTTTAAACTTGCATCGTTAAGGCTATGCAGCAATGTGAAAGAGTGGCGATATATCTTTGAGGGATATAAGTGGATTAATGATTCATCACTTGCGTAATACCGTGGAATGATCTAAGGTTTTAGTTCTTATAAAAGTTTCAGAGACATTCTTCAATCGGAAGATTCGAGCAGGGTGGAATCTGCTTTTATCGCATCTCCAGGATTCTTGTCTATTCTAGTCATAAAGTGGCTATCGCGTCTATCAAGACCTTATTGGAAAAGATGTCATCATCCTGCTGGTGCTAAAATGCTTCGAACCGAGCTCGAATATTTTATTCAGGAACGATTAGCATCGAACTCATTACCAATTTCATAAACATTAGTATTAGTCTCAAGATTTACTTTTAATAAATAATGTATCATATTTTCTTACACAGTCAAATGATTTACCCCGGCAAAGGCAGCTAACAGTAAACGTGCACGATTTTATTTCGGCATCTTCATTCAAAAAAAGTTTGAGTCTCTAAATTATAAGAAATGCACGGATGTTAATATTGTAAATTGACATTATTTGTACCACCTGGAGCTGAATTCATATCATAACTATTTCTTGGTTTAGGCAGATTTCTAGTAGGTAGGCGCTTGCTAGAATATTTATTCTCCTTCTCGAACTGGAGGAATATACATATGTCACATATGCGTAAAGAATTCGACGCTGGAAATTTGCGCGGCATGTAAAAATTCTAATGGATGCATCGAAAAGGGCCCATAATATGATGGCAAATATAAGGAAAACGTTCCGTAAACGTACATGGAAAGATTCAATATCACACATAATGTTTTGAAGGATTGAAATTACCTTATACATACAGTAGAAGAGGTTTTGTTATAGCATAGCCAAGAATGACTAGCTTTGTAGTCAATAAATTCATTATACAGTCAACTCTTTTTATAGCACCTGTGCTTTGCCATTTTCAACCACTACTGTTTATAACGACCAGTCATAGGATTTAAGTTCAAAATAAAATTTACCATATAAATTATATTATAACCCCTTTTTTTATAGTGATTAGTAGATTAATTTCTATATACACTTCTCTGCTTCTGGCCAGACACTAGAAATCGAGCGGCACTGAAAATTCATGATTGTTTATTCTATTTTCATTCTCTATCATATATTCTCTACCATATATTCTCTATCGTCACTGTTATTTTTTGGAACAGCAGGAGATAGTTTTAATGTGAATCCTAATGATTTAAGAGAGTTTTTTTTGAGCGTAATAAGACAAAAAAACAATATATTCATAATATAGAATAGAGTTGCAAAAAATTACATGCTAAGCACTTGAACAAATAGTAAAAAAATGTTATTGCTAGCATAATAGTGAATTTTATTAAATATTTAACTCCACTGTTTATAACGACCAATTTTGCTTTGCCCGAGGTGGTTGTTAAAGAGATTTGACTGTATTTAGCTCTTAACAGTTGCGTCCTAGTCGTCGTAATGCAAGCTGTAGAATTTTGAGAAATACTCTTTGTATAGATATCATCGATCAAAGTGATGATAAAAGCGGAGCAATGAATTTTACGCCAACCAATAAATTTACAAAGATCAGGTACAGGCTAACTAAACTATCACTATAATAGTAATAATAATATCGACACTACTCTGACGTTAGACTAAATAATACCGCCATTATAATGTTAATGATTAAACAATTTGTCGACAAGTCTGATTCTTTGTATGGATATCATCGATCAAAGTGATGATCGTCTGTGATTTGTTGTTGACATTTTAGGAAACTTACATTTAAAAAATTAATCGCTAGCCAATCACGTTCCAAGTTGCGAGGAAAATGGTAAGAGTTCTTGTGACAAGCTAATTCAAACCATTGTTATTCTCATTGAGAATGATTGCCTGCCGAGTCAATTGATGTGTTGTATATAATTTGCGTCGTCACAATATAAATACCGGATTTATATACATAGGCAACTATCGAATCCAGTGACTAATTTTATTTTTCGTTCAAGATTTTGTTAAATACAAACGCAAAGTACAATAAGGATGTAAGTTATATTATCATACAATCAGATGAGAGTTATATTATGCAGACGTTTACTGTTAAATTTGACGTTTAGAATACAATTTATATTAGCGTTCAGTATAATTAATAAGACGTAAAAAATTTATATGATCGACTGTATTGTATAAACTGCGTTCAGGGGTGATCTGACGTAAATTATATATATAGATTATGGTGGCGCAAATTATATTAATATACAATAGATGCACCCTTATCATTGTTACCCCTCGTCATCATCGAACATAAAGAAGCGCCCCTTGATATAGTATTTGATCGATTGAAGGTATATATATTTTCTATGTAATCGCTTCTTGACCACTGAAAAAGTCACAAAAAAATTCACCGAAAGACGGATTTTACTCACCACAACTCAAGGCCCTCAAACCAGACCTTACTGAAGAATACACATTTCAAAGTTCCAGCAGCACGGCTCAAAGCACTTCGAGCAAGTCTATAATAACTACTCGTGAACCTGACCAAAACCATCAGCAAATATTCCCGATCAGCCCGAGACTAACGCCATGGCTCAAAACAATTGGGTCCAAACTAACACTCTTCAAGTTTGTGAAGCAAAGTCTGATAATCAGGTAGATTCTTCCCTGATTGGGGATGACGTATTAATTACAACGAACCTGTTATTGTCGAAAGTAAGCTTTTAAGTCAACATGACGCGCTCGTTACGCGCTAGCTGTTTTAACACGTGTCTGTATGATATCTTGCTGTGCTGTTATAACTAATAATTCTTATTATCATATTAGAAAATTGTGAAAAAAGTTTTCATATTCAATGTTACGATAATGAAGGTGTGCGTTGCACAAATTTCAACAATTTACAATGTGCGACAACGAAGATTTCAGGCAATTTTTAAAGAGAGTGGAGACGAGAGGATTAGAAGACATTGAAGATGACGATAAAATTATCACGTCATTTAAGAATATTCAAGCTAACAAATTTTACCGGATCAGTGCTTCGTATCTCAAGGCAGTAAAAAAATGGTGTCATGTGGACACAAGTCGAGGATATGGCATTAGAGGATGAAACGAAATTGGCTGTGGCAAATATCATTAAGAAAATGCTCAAGTCCCCTGTTATAGACTTTTCTAACCGAGTTATGCATGACCAAACTGGCCAGCCGATTATGGAGTGGGATGGCATCTTCATATGTTGTAACAAAGTGTTTCTATGTGAATCAAAACACAAAATGACCGAAGTAAGTATAAAAAATTAATTGATGCGACTTTCATGAATCTGTTGGACAATCTCACTGACAAATCTGACATTTTAAGGAAAAAATTGCCACGCTTGTTAAAAGGTTAGGGGAATTTCCAAATAAACTGGAGGTAACGAAAGATTTCAAATTCAAGAAATTATTGGGTATGGAATGTATTGGAGTCGCTTGTGCCACACTTTTTCCAGAAGAACTAAGACAGAAGTGTGTGGATGAACTTGGATTAGTCGTTGCATACCGGAGGTGCCGTATTGTGTCGAAGTACCCGCAAAAATATATGGATGTAAATGGTATAATTATTACTAATATTTCATTGTAGTTGTAGTACTTTATCGCGTATTAGTATATAGCTTATGTTTGTAATGCAAATTCACGTATATGAGAAACATTGGAAATCTTCATGTATTGATAATAAATGTGGGAGCTGATGCTGAAATCCGGCTGACGCTGAAACTAACCAATGGGGTTAGAGAATAAAATCTAATCAACCAATGAAAGGTCATGGTTTTCAGCCGAATTTCAGCTTCAGCCGTGACAATTAAATATTGCGAACTAAAGTATGAAGACTTTTTACACAAAAACTCAAATTTGATCGTACATTCGACGATACTTATGCATTGCATTATTACGAATTATGGATGTCAAATGCTATTAGAAGACTTAAACGAGCAATGAAAGTCGGCGCCGTACGGCAGAAAAAGATGCGAGCATGCGTCCTTATCCAACGTAAATGGATAGAATTCATGTATCGTCCCAATGGTATAATTGTCAAGCGGTTAGCGGAAGAATATTCGTATCTATAATTTTTAATTTATTTATCTAGTTCTAACGATGTGTCCCAACCCAAACGAATTGCTTTTTTGTCGAAGGTACACCTTTAACGTTTAATCGTAGGTGTAGACAATAAAAGAACGCAAAACTCCAACCCAAACGAATATAGAGAGGATTATCTTTTGCTCTAGTCAAGTCAATCACAATAAACTGTCGACCTTGCAATTCTTATCGATTATATCAACGGTGTTACATAGATTGAACTAATATTAGAGTGACGTCCCTCAGTGAAGTAAGGGACAATTTTCTCTTGCACCTTTTTAGGTTCACTACATAAATCTTCAAATATAACCACCACCCCTCTTTCAGGAGAAAATTCGTCAATCTGTTGGTATTTTGTCGGGCTTCATTGATCGGAACGTAATATTTTCGCGATATGGTTTTGGACTATTCGCATTGATTTGGTAACAATCTCTCAAATGTCTATACTTTAGTTTTTTAAGATGGTGTCCAATCAAAACTAGATTGTCTTTTTTTATAAAACGTGTCCGGTCTTTTTTCCCATTAAACTAGATTATTATCTTTTTGGGGGCTGCGCCCCTCGGGTAATTTGTCGATTGGTAGTATTCATTTGTTATATTTGTTATAAGGTCATAGTCTGGTACTGTACTTGTGCTGTTCATGTAGTGGGAGAAGTAATTGTGGTGTGGAATGCCAGTGGCATTTATAACATGATGTTCGTCTTTTCAAGACAAATAGTATTTATTATGATCTTGTACAATACATAATCGATTAGACATTGAGAAAGTCAGGAAGAAAGCGTTTGCACTATCAGAACTAGAATTCTGTTTAACATTGAGAAGACTTTTAAGTAAAATATTTAACTTATGAAAAATAAGATAAGGCTATTGTTATTTACATTTATGAATAGATATCACAGTTTTTTGTTCTTCAGAAGGAGGTAACATCAGTTTGGTAGATGCTAAATCGGAAAGCTTTTTTACTTTTGTAGATCTCGTTTAGCTGGTTTTTTTTGTTGCAGGTGGATTGTCTACCACTACTAATAGATTGTCTTCGTTGGGTGTGAATTTTTCTGCTGATGACGACGTAGATAAATCTTTTTCGAATTTGATTTTTATTTTCGCGGGGAGAGGGTATGGGAGAGGTTTTTTGTCGCTTGGAAGTAGTAGTTAATGATTCGTATAGAAGACTTCTCTTCTCAAAAAATGCGGATGAGGATGCGGATGAGGATGAGGATGAGGAGGTGGGTGTGGAGGACGTATATTGAGTGGTGTTTGTGGATATAAAATCAAAATTGTGAAGTTCGAGACACAATCTATCTTCGTGGATATCTAATTCTCTTATAAGGGAAACTTTTGAACCCAGTTTTGCTTTCGTTGTTCAGTTGTAAAGGTATTTTTTGTTGTTTTTATAGTTGATGGGCTTCCGGAGACGTATTGGGAGGTTTGAATAGTTAAAACGACCATGTCATGGTATATGTTAGCGTTGATTTTATGATGCCGATCGTACTAAGCCAAGTGCCGACTACCACGGGAGAGCAGATAGTAATCGACACTTGGGATTTAGCTAGTATCGACGGAGCGCGGCGCCTTTTACTCTAGTTAAATATCTGAATATAGTTAGTGACCTCGTTAATTCAAGGCTTTTCACTTACGAACTATCTCGTCGTAGAATGAACGTAAATCCTAATGAGTTAATCGTACTCATATGACGGTTACTATCGGAGGATAAATTCGACAGTCTCCCGTTCGGGGTACAATGGTGTATAAATCATAATGCGCATCTACATAACAATTAATTATCGTAATTTGCCACTCGAATAATCGCGGGACAAGAGGCGTATATATCTTTCGAGCGGACTATTGATCTATTCTTAGCAGCTATTTTCTAATCATCTATCGATTGTTCTCAGTATACAATTATGACTTTTGCAACACTGCACTGCTTGTAATACTGCTGTGAGTACCATGCGCTGCGCCGTCGGAGTAATGCAGAAATTTAGGAGAGAATACTTCCTGTTTATAGCGTAAGCATCATAGTAATAGCGTCTTGCTAATTAATAGAATGTCTGTTCACCTAGAAGAAACGCAGGTTACTTAGTTGTAATAATATGTGTATGTGTATTTGCCTATGCAATCGCTCATAATTGCTCATGATTGTTCTGTAATTGGTCACTTCTACCTTGTTTCTCTGGTACTGCTAAGCAAAGCAACTACATATAAAGTGAAGTTGGTTTTTGTCCCAGACACGTTTAATAATCGCTCTCAAGCACAAGTTTTCAAAGCATATATGCTTGCTTTCGCCAGTTTTCGCACAAACAGTCGTCGTATAAAGATTTGCAACAAAAAAGTTTTTTCATATACTGTATGTTTTTACTAATAATTTCAAGGCCTGCCGAAAGACTTTAGTAGGGGAAGGATGTACATTTATACTAGTGATTCATCTACATTCTTACTTCTTGTTTTATATACCTTCTTACGAAGTTCATATTGAACGTATGCTGTTGAAGTTGCCAAAAAATCCTTTGGTACCTCATCAGTAAAGTAAGATATATTTCTAGTTAAAGACAGTACTAATACAAAAACGCATGTTTTTACAAAGTAAACATTGATTGGCCACACTAACAAAATCAATAATGTTTGCAAGATGTTTGGGATATAAAAGCAGACTACCATAAGAATATTAAATATTGTATTCACACTGTAATCCATACAAGTTCCCATAATTATAAATAAGGGTATTAAAGCCAACAAAATTTCCAACAATGAAACAAATAATAAGTTTATAATTGGATCAACTTTATGATTATTAACCAAGTAAGCAATCCAGAATATTGGAATTACTAAAACGGGGAAGAATGTCAAAAAGGAAAATATGCCATCCCATATATCATTATCAAGATCACCAAATTGCTTCCATCTGATTAATGCAATCGATGCACAAACAACATGTAAACACATGTTTACAATTGAAAATCTTTTTACAGCCAGCTCATCACCGTAGGCAAATGACACCGTTAATGGAATAACCCAAGTGACTGTATTGTACAATATATCGTCCAGCAGTGGCAACAGCTTTCTTTTTATCGGCCCAGGGTTTCCCGAGACATTTAACAGCACGACAAAGGTTATGGGGAAAAGTGTAGTAAGAATTGCATCGTATAAATCTTGGTAAGACTTATAAGAGTCATCGACAATAGATGCAGTTGCAAGTGGGATAAGTGAGAAAAATGCAATAATACGGAAAAGAGAATTAATATCTCTCGTGAATGTCTGCATTTCAGAATCTGAGAGTTTAGAAGTAAAGCAATAAATCTGTGGAGGGATGATCGTAAGTTGCTGAAGTTTATCACTTAGACCTTATTGATATTGCATGGATCAGTTATAGACTTTGTTCGGTCAATTATTTATTAGTTTTGATAACTAATTTCGTAAAACGTTAAACGTACCTAGTACAACAAACATTGCCTCGCAAAATAACTGGTACAGTCGACCCTCCATATATGCACCCTCCATTGCACACCCTCCATATATGCACGACAAGTCTTATTCCCAAGCTCGGGAGTTAGTAAATATGTGCACACCCGCTATATGAAATCCACCCTCCCTAAAGATCATACAAATAGTGTGATTTGTAACACTTACATCGTTGTCTTATTGGTTACACTTTGTTTCTATTTGAAAGAAATTTGTAAATCATTGTTGTTTAACACAGTCTTTATCATCCTTCGTTTAATATTAACAGGTCAGGTAAATAAAGAATTAATGACGGATAAAGAATTTGTAATCGTTCATGAAAGAAATAAATACATTTTTTGTTAGAGGTCGGCATTCGGCGTTATGAATTGCATAAAGAATTTCGTAATCGTTCGTGAAAAAATAAATAAAGAGTTTAGAATTAGAATTAGTTCGTTCATTCTGCAACAGCAAGAAGATTCTAAGGAGTTACTTAAACAAGTTAATGCTCTGGATTACTACATTGGTTTAAAGTTGATGAATGCAAAGAAACAAACAACCATAGACAATTTTTTCAGTCAAAAATAGTAAACAGGTATTTTAATTTTGTCTTTCATTATTATTATCGTTATTATGAAATAAAATATATATCACGTGCAACCAATAAAATGCCAACTCTCCATGTGCATATATGGAGGGTAGACTGTGGTCGCTCTCAACAGCTCATCTCCCCTTCCTGAAATGGAAAGTGGGAAAAATGACCTCTCAACAGTTAGATTTGACC